CCCCAAAACCCCAAAACCCCAAAACCCCAAAACCCCAAAACCCCGTACTTAAGGAAGGATATTGGGAGCTTGATATATCACAATTTAATCACGGTAAGTTCTTTAAAAGTCTGGTGAAAATACCCATTAGAGCCCTTCTCTTCACATTCATGTGACATGGAGGTACTCAACTGCCGGTAGAATGCTCTATAGACTCTGAACATGCCATTTCTGTTTCTATTCCCTAACATATCACTTTTAGACCATGTTTGCAAGAAGGTCATTCAACTTAATCAACAAGCTCTCAACATTTTTGAAGAGTATATCGAAAAGGGATTACTCACCGAAGACACCACAGTTAGAATATTTCGAAGACTTCTTTGAGCCTGACTGAGAAATGGATCCAGCTGAGGTAACTCTAGCACAAAAGATTATCGATGAAGAACTATTGAGTAGTCTTTACTGAAGGCTGAGATTAGCGAAGCTGATAGAGCTAGACCCTTACAGCTTCCCTGATATTATTCAAGGAGAAACTATTGCTGATTACATAGAGAGACAATACAGAGGAATTCTTCCACAAATCAATAGAGATTTCAATTACAATGTATTCTCAACACATAGGCTTCATACAATTGATGATATAGCAGTAGCCAAAGACCTCTCCTTCTAAATTTCACTTGTGGAGATAGAAGGTTAAATATATTTTCTGACATAAAATTATAACCCGAAAGTAAAACATATTCTGCTTCTGATAAACCTGCAGATGCAGGTCTACATCCTTATGGAGCATGAACCTGTGGAGAACTGAGATAGAGAAAAGATTAGATCAATACAGTTGAGACTTTTATTTATCACTCTTGATATTTCTCCAGACTTTTAACTTCATCCAAGCATCAAAATTTCAAGTGAAATTCTTACTGCTAGTTCAAAGAAAATTCAATATTTAGAGTGGCCAACCATGCTTCTTTGTTGTTTAAGAAGATAAGCTTTGATATAATATGTAGATCTAAAAGTTCCCATGATCAAGAACAATTTCTAGATTTGTACTGATGAACCAAGTCCTGAAGTTCTCAAAGCATCCTTTGAATAGGAATTTTCATAGACTCTTTAGTGCTTAGGGGTGAAGTATTTTCCTAAACCTTAAACTGAAATATTTATACAGCTCTAACATAATACAGACTTCAATACATTAGGACTAAACTTCAGCGACCCTTCAGAATAATAAGAGTCACCATGAATATTTTGACTGAGCCATCTTCAACACCCCTAAGCCCCATATTTCCTTGTTCGAAATAGTACTTTATGCCAGATATTTAGCTTAATCTCACTCGACTATATATTTCTTAATGTTCAATCTTCTGGAACATCAGAGGGGTTTTGGGGTTTTGGGGTTTTGGGGTTTTGGGGTTTTGGGG